AAAACATTTATGTCCAAAATAAATAAAACAAGTATCTAATTATAAAGTAATGATCAATTTTTTGATTAATGGGGCTAAATACAAAAACAAAATACAAAGCAAGGATATTTATACTATACAGATAGATATACCACTAAATTGATGTCATCCGAAGCCACCTCAAACGAAAACACAACCGATTTTAGGCATAAGAAGTAGGAAAAAAGAACTAAAAAGTAAAATGAAAACACTTGGATAAATAAATAAGTGGATTCACCAGAATAATTTGGCCTAAAAGAATTGAAGGTTTTTGAAATGTAAGGTTCTAACAGCTACTATTTGACCTAAATCAAAGTTAAACAAATAAAAATAAACATTTCATATACTAAATTAATACCAAAACAACAGTAAAAACAAAAAAAATAAACAAAAAACAAAGAAAAATCAAAATATAAATTTTAAAATATAAAAAACAATTATAAAACTCCCGCGCGCAGCGCGGGTCAACAACTAGTTTTATATAAAAGGAAAGTTACTTATGACGCTAACAAAAGTTCATTCACAAGAAAACACCAAAACTATATACAGAATTAACATTAGTATAAAGCTTTGACTTCTCTCACTTGACTCTCGGCTTATCTTCCATTTTAAAGTAGTTTTGTGTGTTTATTGAAAGCTTTGAATCATATGGTGAAGTTGATAATCCAAATATTTGATATAAACATGTCTAATATTTTACATTTTAAGACTATAAAAACTTTAAGATCTCTTGATTCAGAAGTTACTTTTGTAAACAAATTTCCTCCAGTTTGGACTACCAATCATGGAGTTCAATTTAAATAAATGTGTGGTTGATAAAAAAAAAAAAAACTTTAATGCTAGCGAAATATATTTATTTTGTCCAAAATGTATCAAATAGACCCCAAAAAACTTTTAAAACGACATAAATACCAAAAAAGTCTTTTGAAAAATACGTCAAATGCCCAAATAATTATTATATAATATACCAAAATACTTTAAAAACTACATAAAAGACCCAAAAGGCTTTTGACAAATACATCAAAGGCACAAACCAATTGTTACCCTAGATATATAAACAAGGATACCTTGTAGCAAGAACTCTTTCTTTTTTTTTTTGGGCTCAAGAGGATTAAACAAGGCAAGTAAGATACCTATCTTCACGATCTATGAGATAACAACTCACCGTTCAAACGATACTTGCCTCTCTCTAGAACCAACGACCCCGTGACCATAGTAGTTCAAGTATCGTCGACACAGTTATGGACTCAGACCATAACGAAAAAGAAGAGTTAGATCCTTTCGTACCTCCACGTAAAACTGGCAAGAACGAGAGGATTGCGTGGTTCAGAAGAAAGCTACTTGAGCTAGATATACTGAAATCGATTAGCAAGAACAAGAGGTTCCATTCTAGGGTTTTGGAGTTGTACAACAACAATAACTGCTCTGCTCGGTTCTTTATGGTTTGGCTCTCTCCTGCAAACTCCTTTGGACCAAGAGAGATGTTAGCTGTCGACACTCTCTTTACTACCAACCCTGGTGCCTGCTTAGCGATTTTGTCTAACTCCTTAGTGATATAGGAATTTAGTAGCACATATATGAGGACATGTGGAGCTTAGTGATAGGTTGAAAGAAGAAAAGATACGTGGAGGGATGTGATTGGTATGAGCTGAAGTTGCTAAAGCTTAAGATCAAGTTGTTCATCATCTTCTTCATTATGCAAAAATCTGAGAATTGTAAACTTCTTCTTCTTCCTTTCTAGTTTGTTTAGGGGCTGTTCCTCATTATTAGTAGAGATCCTTCCATGGATTCTAACACATGAGAAGTGATTCTGCGTTTTATGAACGTCGTTTCAAATTATCGTTTGATTCATATTTCATTTTGAAGATCTATAGTTTTCTGTATTAACCTGGCTCTGATACCTTTAATATTAAGATTGAAGAAGGAAGCGTCATGTACAGTCTCATCTCAGCTCACTGCACAGTCTGCAGAAACATCACAAACTCTCATACTCTCTAAATAGATACAACGATTCTTGTGTCCCAAGGAAGCGTCATGTACAGTCTCTCATCTCTACTCACTGCATAGTTGCTACTTCAGAAACTCTCGGACTCTCTGAACAGATACAATGATTCTTGTTTCTCAAGGAAGCGTCATGTACAGTCTCTCATCTCCAAGTTTTATTTAGAATACTAGCTGCCAATGGTTGTTCTATAGAACTGGTCTTAATGTTGAGTTTCAAGCAACATTCTTAAGTCATTCAATTCAAAAAATCTTGCCTGCAAACTATATATACAAACATGTTTGGGAGAGGTCTCAGTGCCATGAAACCATCCACAATACCTTTCCAATGTGTTCAAGTTCAGAATCATCTTGGAGTGAAGAAACTCATACTCATGAATGGTATGTCTTCCTGTGAAATAGTAGAAACAAGATTGTTACCAGAGAAAAAGACTTAGTTTACTCTAAGTATATATCAAGTATCATGCAAACAATTTTGCAAGAATCAGCTATTGATACAGATTACAGAGTATGGTTACTTAGACAATTAAGTATGATATCTATTACAGATTAAGGGAGAGGAGGCACAACAAAGAATTTGGTTAACGGTTTGTTTATCTGCATATGGGAACCACATCTAGGCATGACCACAGTTACGGTTAATGCGGTTATGATTAATTAACTACCGGTTAATGGTTATAATTTTCTTTAACCATAACTTTAACCATTATATATACGGTTAATATGGTTACGGTTATATACGGTTACGGTTAAATACGGTTACGGTTATTTGATGATTATTATAATATTAATATTGGAGATAAAATCTTATGAAATACTATTTATTTTACAAGTGAAAATATATGTGAATTCAAATATTTATAGTTAATTAGTTAAATATGGGTATTGGATTTAAACTGAGAAACCCAATATCAAATACACACGGAAATAAGAATAAAAATAGTTTAGTATAAAATGTGTTGTTTTTAATAAGGTGAAAATTTTATCGAAACATTTGATGTGTCTTTTCATTGTATATAGTTATAATTTAATTTATTTTTAAGGATTTATATATGCGGTTAACCGAGCGTTTAACCGTACGGTTAACCGAGCGTTTAACCGTACGGTTAACCGAGCGTTTAACCGTACGGTTAACCGGCGGTTTGTTACTGTTAACTAACTATTACGGTTAGTATTTTTTTTTTACTGAAACTAATTTACTTGTACGGTTAACGGTTACGATTTTAACCATTTTATACGGTTACGGTTGATAAACGGTCCGATTACGGTTAGAAATACGGTTAAGGTTATATATTGGAAGAAATTATATAATTTCGTTATTATAGGACTGGTATATCTATAAATGATCTGGAAAGTTTGATACTAAAATTCAAAACATTGTGAAAAGGTCTCATCCTTTAAAAAATAAAAATTACACATAAATAGAATCCAAAATTTGAAGAAAAATATTAAATCTAAATTTTGATATAACATATCTAACCTTTCGTATTTTCACATTAAAATAACATATATATTTATTTAACCCAAAATAATACATAAAAGACAAAAAAAACTGTTAAAAATACATAAAAGACCACAAAAATCCTTTAAAAAGATATGTTTTTTTTTAAACAAACCCTAATTTATATGTTGTAACTCAATAATCTTTGGAGCAATAATCTAACTTCATTCTTAGAACTGGTATATCTATATATGATTAGTAAAGTGTTGACACTAAAATTCTAAACATTGTGAAAAAGTCCCATCCTTTTTTTTCAAAAGCATATAAATAGAGTTCAAAATTTGAAGAAAAATATTAAATCCGCAATTTGACATAACATGTTTAAAATTTCGTATGTTTAGATAAAAAAAAAAACTTTAATATCAACCAAATATATTTACTTTACCCAAAAAATACATACAAGCCCAAAAAAACTATTTAAAATATACATAAAAGACAACAAAAAAATCTTGTAAAAATATATGTTGTAACTCAATAATCAATATCATTAACATGTGTTAACCCTGGAAAATAAAAAATCATTACAAGCAAGAAAGAAACCTAGTGGGACAAATTCACACATCAGCCTCAATATCACAGTGTCACCGACACCTATATCTTCCTCTCTCTCTCACTCACTCTTTCTCAGCTTACTACTACTAGGCACGTGCAGCACGTGATAAAGAGACCAAGACGTGCTTAGACTTTAGACTAAACCACCTTTAATGACTTGAGACCTGTTCTTGAGCCACGAGCCTCGTCGGATCCCCACAAATGTTTAGTATATTCTTAAAGAAGGTTCTTTGGTTCTTATCCGCACGCATCTCCATGCTCATAACTTGTACGTAAGTTTAGTTACACGACTCCATAGCACACCTAGAGCTTGTTCTTTAAAATTCCATTTTTGGTATCACTTAGTTCATAACGTTTAAAACAATCAAATGTATTTCCATTGCATCAGAAATAAGAAATTTAAAATTTCGATATTATTTCATGCGAAATAATTAATGTTTTTATTAGGATATTTATGTCGATAAATTTTAACTTCGAATGATTACATTGGATAAATCCGTTTATATATAGTTCGGATCCTTTTTTATTTATCAGTAACAAATAATGATATACATAGTAGAGCGGACCGAAAAAAGTTCAACAAAATATTTTAAAGTAACCATAAAACGCTTTTATATAAAAATAAATTTAATCTACGGCGTATTGTTATTCTTCACAAAATTAAATTAAACAAAATCGCGGATAAATTAGTCCGTATTACCCGCAATATATATTCAAAGCCTTAATCTATTAGATATCTCAGTTTATTTGCAATGAAAATTTTCCTAATATTGGTCTTTATTCTCTGGTATTGGGCTACTTAACTCAACTCTATGATTATCCTTGGTGGGTTATCTAATTCCTATTTGATTTGGATTGTTTGTGTCCCAATAATAAAAGCTTATGGATCCACCATGAACTAGTAGCATTCAATTGTGTTCATATAACCAGAAATAACATAAATGGAACTCAAACTCATCTCAGACAATCTTATTTATATGAACCGAAACATGATTAGTTGTCACTTATAACTATGTATGGGACGAAACAAATAAATATGTTTCTTTTGTGTTTCTAGGAATTAAAGCTAACCAAATGCAAAGTGTTAGAGCTGTAAAAGAGGAAGCCACATTGCAAGATAAGTCCCGCTTTCCCAGGGACTTCTGTCACCACCGACACAATTTTTATACTACCATTTTAAACCATTTATATTCCCAATCTTAAAGTAAACAAATTTGACCCACGGATAAAAAAATATTTTAAAAAGAGTAGAAAAATTAAAAATATTGGCATAAAATCAACTAATGAAAGTTAGATTAGTCCATAATTGTAGGCCTCAGATTGAGAACTGGTTTTTTTCTAACCGAAGCGAACCGAGATTTGAAGGTTTTGGTTATTGGTTAATAGAAGCAAAAACCGATTGACAATTTTCCAAACAAAAGCGAACCAAAATTTGAAGGTTTTGGTTATTGTTTAATAGAAGTGAACCGGCTGACAATTAATGAAAATTTTCAGTTAATAGAAGTGAACCGATTAACCGCATTATTCTGTAATATGTCCAACCAAAATATACAGAATTTTAGAAATTATATCAAAAAAATATAAATCACTATTTAAACCAAAAGTTTCAAAAACCAACATATGTTTTGGACAGATTTTAGTGATATGGCAATACCATTTCGAACCAAAACAATGTGTTAGTCTTACATCTTAACCAAAATTATCCGAAAAAACCAACTATCGAAACCAAACCAAACAAACCGGTTCAAAATTCGCAAGCCTAGTAAATATGATTAAACTTCCTTTAGAAAACTGAAAATAGAATTCAAGACTCACATTTAATGAGTAATTCAAAAATAAAAGAAGGTAGTATTTTCAAAATTTTGATAAAATTCAGGCATAAATATGGTCCAAAATTAATTACTACACTCAGAAATGTTCTTTTCTCAATTTAATATGGAGTAAATTAAATTTCATCACAAGTTTGTGATGCTTTCTAGAGCATTTTCCATTAATAAACTGACATTTTTTTCTTTCTTTCTTTTGGAATTTAGTTACATCTCTTAGCTTTTTCTAAGTGTAACCGTTCTCCAAAAAATTCAAAAACAAGACTAAACAAAATTAAAAATTAAAAAAAGACCACAAAAGCTAAATTTAATTACAAAAGAGCCACTAAAAAGTAAAAAAATAACCAAACCCACCAGTTTCACTCATCATCAACAACACCGACTTCATCGCCACCACTCACCGCCGTAACACGCTCCGACAATTTCGTCGAGTTCCGACAAAACCCATTACCAAAACCCTCTCTTTCCTCCTCCTCCACCTCCGCCGCCGTCACAACATAATGTCCTAAATCTCCGACCACCTCAATCAGATTCTCTTCACATAGAAACTCATCACTATAAACTCTCTCAATCTCTCTCCCAAACTCATGAACAAACACATCAGTCTTCTTCTTCTTCGTCTTCTTCATCTTCTTCTTCTTCCCAAGATCTTTACTTTTTGCTAAAACCGCCGTAGTAAAGATCGGAGCCATCCTTCCCGGAGAATCAAACGCATACCCACGAGGCCCATCAATCAAAATCACATCCCAATCAATCTCATAAACAAAATTAGGCAAATCGTTAATACCTAACTTACAATCTGAGAACAAGAGATTCTGAACAGGTCTACACTCGTTTTTAGTTTTGTAATAACCAAGAAGCTTCGTAGCTTGAGAGACTTTAGTTGAGTAAACAACATCATAAGCTTCAACTCCAGGGTTACTCTGTTCGAACTTAGAAACAGAGTAAGGACTCTCATCAACAAAAACAGTACGGCCTTGGAAGTTTATAGATCTCCAAAGAAGAGATTCATAAGTTAGTCCGAAGACTAAAAGGTTACAAGAAGGGCCATGAGAGTTGATGATGGTGGAGATGGTGGTGAGTTCAAGGAACGACATTGATGTGTTTGGTGGTGTTGAGGAAGTGTAGTGGAGGAGCGCGGCGGTTACTGGTGGTGGTAGGGAAGAAGAGGAGAAGGGAGATGAGGAGAGAGAGTGAGAGGTTTTTGTTGTGGTGGAGTGGATTGAGGAGGAGGAGAAGAGAGAGAAAGAGAAGAGGAGAGTGAAGAAAGAGAGGAAGAAGATGAATAAAAGACGGTGGTGGTTCGCGGCGGCGACGGCGGCGGAGGTTGATTTTGAAGTTAGTGGTGAGTGGTGGTGGAAGAGAATTAGATTAGTGTTTGTGTTGTTGTTGCTCTTCATTTTTTTTTTTCTCTTTGAATAAAACAAAAAATAGAAATGTGTGTTTTGTCTCTTTAAGTAGAGAGGCTTTTGTCTTTGTTTTGGTTTAGTTTATTCCGGTTATGGATTTTGAACCGGGTTGGTTTGAAAAAATCTTTGAAACGGACGTTGTTGTGTAACTTGTCAGCTTACATAGTACTAATTGCCAAAAGGTCCACTTCATTCTTTTGGTTTAATTTGATCAGACTAATAAATTGTATGCATATTGTTTATTAGTATTTATTTTAATAGTTAAAACATTATATAGCTTGTAGTTTAGTTGTGGTATTTCCAAAGTAAACGTTACTTTTGTGATCTTGTGTTTTAGAAGAAGCAAACTATTGTATGTTAAATTTTTAGAGCATGGATCTTTCAATGAGGATGGAAACCATCTACTAATTCTTTGATTCGAGTTAATATAAATAAAAGGGATTTTGAACTAAAAAATAGATTCTAGAAACTAAAAAGGTTATCTTGTATAATTGCATGAATCGGTATTATCTTTACTGGGTTGGGTTTTAAAAACGCCCAACCTAATAACGAGCCTAATAACGAGGTAAGTAGGTACATATAGCAATTCTTAATATTTCGATTGTTCGTGTATGGTTGACATTGAAAGATATCCCAAATAGGTGTTATTGAATTCCTAGGATTAGTAGTATTGCATTTGGTTTGGGTGCTTCGATGGCTACTTACAAACTGAGGTTAGAATTTAATCTCTTGGGTGAGGTTGAAGTAATTGAATAGAGCTTTTGCTCCAAATTTGCAGTAGTTAATGAAAAAAGATGAAAAATAATGTTCGTTTTAGATAATTTTGTAGAAAAGTTAGATGAGAAAATACTAAAATTTCCAGCTAATTGTAGCCGAATCTAGCTAAAATGAAAAATACTTAAAAAAATACTCTTGTGTAATTTAATCATAGTTGTACTTCTTTATTCTTCTAGCTTCCGAAGTCCGAACAAAAAAATTAGGTTTTCTCAAATCTTAGACACTTCTTTTTTAACTTTCGATTTTTTGCCGAATAATAATAATTAATTTAGAATTATTATTATTATAAATTAGTAAAATATCATAAGCCTTAAATTATAGAGATTTTACTGTAGTTGTGATTAAATTGTACTGTAAAACCTCTACCTAAATGGTTTACCAATTAGAGAGAATCGTCTGATTTATCGAAATAGTAAGTGGGATTATTATTCGACTTTGTATATTCTTGTTCCAGCCTTCGAATTTCATATGGTACCAAGAAATAAAGCAAACGTCAAGGCTTACTCGTCACTAAAGTAACAAGTCAAAGTTTGCTAGCTATACTACGAACCAGAACAAGGCAACACAAAAGCAAACACATGACGTATGCAAAGACGTGATTACTCTTCTTCCACGAACACGCGTGTGTGTGTATATATATCTCAATATGTCTGAATCTGGAAGAGTAATCCAATCCAGACAAGGAACCTTCTTTGCTTTGTCTGATCACATCAAACATCTCAGTTCTTAGATCTGTCAGAATTTTCCATTTTGGTTCTGTTTTCTTTTGATTTTTCTGTTGCAAGAAAACATGAACAGAGAAGTTTCTGAGAGAGTTCATATTTTGTTCTTTCCCTTTATGGCTCATGGCCACATGATTCCAATTCTAGACATGGCCAAGCTTTTTGCGAGCAGAGGAGCCAAATCAACTCTTCTCACAACTCCAATCAGTGCTAAGATCTTGGAGAAACCTATTGAAGCATTCAAAGCTCAAAACCCTGATCTTGAAATCGGGATCAAGATCTTCGAGTTCCCTTGTGTAGAGCTTGGATTGCCTGAAGGATGCGAGAACGGTGACTTCATCAACTCATACCAAAAATCTGACTCAGGTGACTTGTTCTTCAAGTTTATTTTCTCTACCAAGTATATGAAACATCAGTTGGAGAGTTTCGTTGAAACAACCAAACCTAGTGCTCTTGTAGCCGATATGTTCTTCCCCTGGGCGACAGAATCTGCTGAGAAGTTTGGTGTGCCAAGACTTGTGTTCCACGGCACATCATTCTTTGCCTTGTGTTGTTCGTATAACATGAGGATTCATAAGCCACACAAGAAAGTCGCTACGAGGTCAACTCCTTTTGAAATCCCATGTCTCCCAGGGAACATAGTAATCACAGCAGATCAAGCTAATGTTGCTGACGAAGCAACACCAATGGGAAAGTATATGAAAGAGGTAAGGGAATCAGAGACCAATAGCTTTGGTGTCTTGGTGAATAGCTTCTACGAGCTGGAACCGGCCTATGCTGATTTTTACCGAAGTTTCGTGGCGAAAAGAGCTTGGCACATCGGTCCCCTTTCGTTATCCAACAGAGAGTTTGTGGAGAAAGCAGGAAGAGGGAAAAAGGCCAACATTGATGAGCAAGACTGCCTCAAATGGCTTGACTCTAAGACACTTGGTTCAGTAGTTTACTTGTCCTTTGGGAGTGGCACTAACCTCACCAACGAACAGCTGTTAGAGATTGCTTACGGTCTTGAAGGCTCTGGACAAAACTTCATTTGGGTGGTTAGGACAAATGGAAACCAAGGTAATTAGTCTCATCCACTATTGTTCTTTCTTAGTATATTTGCCTCAATGTTAACATAGTTATGACAGGTGAAGATGAAGAGTGGTTGCCTGAAAGGTTTGAGGAGAGGACGACAAAGAAAGGACTGATAATACGAGGATGGGCGCCGCAAGTGGTAATACTTGACCACAAAGCAATTGGAGGGTTTGTAACGCACTGTGGATGGAACTCAGCTGTGGAGGGCATTGCTGCAGGGCTACCTATGGTGACATGGCCAATGGGAGCAGAACAGTTCTACAACGAGAAGCTATTGACAAAAGTGTTGAAGATAGGAGTGAGCGTTGGAGCTACAGAGAAGGTGAAAAAAGGAAAGTTGATTAGTAGAGAACAAGTGGAGAAGGCAGTGAGGGAAGTGATAGTTGGGGAAGAGGCAGAGGAAAGGCGGCTATGGGCTAAGAAGCTGGGCGAGATGGCTAAAGCCGCTGTTGAAGAAGGAGGATCTTCTTATAATGATGTTAAGAAGTTTATGGATGAGATAAATGGTAGCAAGTAGAGAGGAAGACAGAACATGTGTTAATGTTGTGAGATGTATTGTTTGATTTTGTGTTACTCTTTGGAGTTCTCGTTTATGTCATAGACGAGTCATTGGTAAGAGGAAGTCCATAGTGTTTTTTTTATACAATAAAGCTTCAATCAAGTCAAATTTAATAAGATTGGAAGACATGTATTTAGTAAAGTATATACTTTAAGAGATCAGATTAGCCAACAACAACAAATCAACACATGTGATTTGTTTTTTTTACAAAGAAAGAAAACTTAAAGCAAACATGAACACAAAAAAAGCAAAAGAAAGACAAGAAACGTTGTATGACCTGTTTAGAAATTCTGAGAGTTAGTGAAGCAGAAACTGTGCAGAGACTGGAGAGATGAGACTTGTACATGACGCTTCCTTGAGAAACAAGAATCTTTGTATCTGTTTAGAGAGTATGAGAGTTTGTGAAGAAGAAACTGTGCAGTGAGTAGAGATGAGAGACTGTACATGACGCTTCCTTGAAACACAAGAATCGTTGTATGATCTGTTCAGAGAGTATGAGAGTTTGTGATGTTTCTGCAGATTGTGCAGTTAGCTGAGATGAGACTGTACATGACGCTTCCTTCTTCAATCTTAATCTTTCTTGTGATTTTGTTCCATAGATGAATCATGTAACTCCCTTTGCTTATCTCCCGTACAATCTTCTCTACCCATTGTGCTTCTCTGATATTTGCAGGTTTCTTGAAAAGCTTTGGGATTTTGATCCAATTTACTGGATAGAAAGCATCAGGGGGATAGATAGTGAAGTTGTATCCAGGTTTGTTTCCTAACCTCTTGATAACTCTAGAGACAATGTAAGGGCTGTTGTGTCCCCATATGTTCTCGTCGAAAGTTGTGGAGTACTCTTGCAAGAACTCTCTCATAAGCGGATGGTTGATGTCAAAGAACATTACTGCGTTGTTTAGTCTTGTCCATGTCTTTGTTTTTGGATCGATACTCTGAGCTCCAATGGCGTTTCTTAGTCTTGTTATATCATCAAGGAAGATGATGTCAGTGTCAAGATAGACTCCGTATTTGTAGAGTACAGCGAGTCTTGTTAGGTCAGAGAGATTCATGAACAAGGGGATAGAACCAGGATCCATGTGGCCACTCTTTTAGCCTTTTCAGCCAAGCTTCAGCAGGAGTGTCCTTGACAAGGAACGGGATATCTAGGGTTACAGCAATTAGGTTTTGTTTGATTGTGTATCCTTAAGAAGGATGGTGTATCCTCTGGGAGAGTCTAAGGAGTTAGAAATCTTCACAAGGATGATGAGTTACAAAAGTTTAAAACTTTAGTTATAAGAATTCTATATTTTGTTACTAAAAATTTATAGATAAAATTCACAATCAAACAAAACCACATTCTTACAAAATTAGTCAGTTTTGTTTAGATAATGTTTTTTATAAATTAAAACATAATTAAGAAATATAAAATTAAGTGGAAATTTGTAAACTTTCAAATTGTTTTCCATACTCTTAGATACCAATGTGAGTAATGCTCTCTGGTCGCACAAATAGACAATGGAACATGACATGATTATTTGTTTCTCTTTGTGTTAAGTCTGTTCTTAGTCATATTGGAACACTACCAAACAATTTGCTAATGATCTCCGCAATGTATTGAATTTAAACCCTATACTCTCTAACGCTGATGGTTTCAATTCAACCCTTTTCAATTTTCTTTTCCTTTTACGAGCAAGTCTAACAACTAACATAACCCAACTTAACAAGATTCAGGAACAGAAGGAACAGAGAGGTTCAGAACAAACAGAAGACTGCCACTTCACATGTTGTTATCTAACAAGACAGTGCCGCTAATGGTTAATATATTAGTCTGATCGAGGAGAAACTCAAACCCGAAACAAACGGGGAAAACCAATGAGCTCGAGAATTAACAACGGGATCATCCTCCATGCATATGGGCGCCGAGTTCACCAAACTGATCATCTGCTTCGACAGTGTCATCTGAGAGACGGACTGCATCAAGCTTCTGCTTCAGGATATCTATGGCATTTAGTACCAGCTGTGATGCCTTCACTGCACCTGTGGATTCAACAGTGAATATAAAACTATCGTCTTTTGGATGGATCTCAATGAGTCCCGGTTTCCCCATCGCTTCAGCTTTCTTGATCACTTCTTCATCGTACGTGTAAGCTTCAGGATCAACCACCACAACCTAAGAATCAAAGTACATTAAACACAACCGCAATGATAGGAAAAGCTGACAGTAATAGGCTAAGTTAGCTATGAAAAATCTAAACAATAGACCACAATGGTAATGGCAGAAAAATTTCCAATAACAAAGGACTTAAACAGTTATAATCAGATGTAATGTTCTCTCGCAAGTCAAAAGAGAGTTACTTCAGCTGTGGCGAGTCCTAGTAATAGCTGGAATATAGAAGAAAAAAATTCAACATGAACACACTGGAACACCAACATGAAAACTCATACAAAAATCCCATTTTAGATTCATTTGGATGACTGAAGCAATTCTCCTACAACTATCACAACCACTGAGATAACTTGGTACTAAAGAGCTCAGTATTGCTACCTTACACAAAGATAACTACAGAAATGACCTAATGGAGCAAACACCTGGAGAAAATTCATACACCTATATCAGTATACATACTGCAAATGCATGGTAGCAAATCAAGTAAGAAACAAACTACATGGAAGTCTCAAAGCCACAAACTTGTTAAAAAGTCGTTCTTTCACAACATCGAAACGAACCTGTCTGGTGACTGGGTCAATGCCAAAAACCTTGGTTGGACAGCTCTCAATCAAATCGATTTTTTCATCCTCTGTCAATGTGTCCATCATGTCTTCATTGATAATAATGTCAGGCTCATACATAAACGTAACAGTAGCTGCTGGAGACCATTTCGCATGATCTTTCCCAATTCCTTTCCTCGCTATCGCCCTAAGCCTCAGTTCTTGTCCCCTGCGCAGTTTCACAATGATAATCCCCCTGAAACCAAATCAAAAACAGTCATTATAAAAGTTAAGCAACCAAAACCCACACAACTACCATTACAGTTTTCGCTATGAAATTTTCATAAAACCAGCTCAAAGATGTCACCTTTTGATTAAGCATTGTATAATCTCTATAGTTTAGCAAACCCAATTGATTCATATAGCAAAAACAATCACCACATTTCTACATATAAAAAATGAAGAAACTTTAATCAGCAAAACAAGAACCAATAATGAAAAAGCACATACTTATGCTCGCTTGAATCAGACGCAGACGAGTCAATAGTGAAATCCACAGGAGTCACAGTAGGATCAGCACTGTAGAGATCCCTACTAGTCACATCTAGGGTTTGATCAGTAACACACTTAGAGCTAAGCCTAAACTCAACAGAGCAAAACTCGCACTGTCCATCTCCATCACAAGCATCACAATCTCTAGAGAACCTCATGCTCATCGCACGCTCGCTTGTCAGAGGAATGAGACCTAATCGATGAGCAATGAACTCGTCGTTGAGCACAGAGGAGTTAACCTCGATTTCGACTAGATCGATTGCAACGGTTGGGACTTCGGAGATCATAACGCGACGGAGAGCGTTCGCCATGGAAACATCGGTTTCACGGAGCTCGAACTTGGCGTAGTCGTCTTTAAGCTCGCGGATCTTCACCTTTGGGAATCTTTGGTAAGTCGCACCGTCCATTGCTGAAGCTCGGTGGTTTCTGATTCCGGAGCTTTGTTAGGGTTTTAGGATTGTGAAACTTTTCAGTTTCTTCGCCGGAGAAGAAGAAAGCAAATTTGTGTGTGAGAGTGGTGAAGAAGATATAAAACTTAGTACAGTGGTTTAAGTTGGGCCTATTGGGTCTAAGTTTAACTGGGCCTCTATGGGCCAATATCTTACTGGGCCTATTTTGTGCTTCTCTTTAATACTTTTTTTTGGGAATGGTTCAACTAGTTAATATCTATGATCAATTATCACCTCATTATAAATTTATAATATATGTGATTCTGAGTTTTATATGTATTATTAAAATTTTATGAAAAGTCTATACCATTTTATTTTTTTTCATACGTTTCGCTTTCGTATTTGTCGACTTATACAATTGTGACTAATATTATATACGACTATTCTAACATAACATTATTGTATGGGCTATATGGAAGATTATACATATAAAACAAAAAAATATTAATGTATTTACTGTATATATATTATAATATTATATATATATATATATATACAGTATATGAATGGAGCACAGTCACTGTCATCCGATAAGAAAAAAATATTGTGATATTTGAGACTTTAAACTTGATAATCACAAAAGTCAGCTTCATTGGTGCAAGTTGAAGAACTTTGGCATAATACAAAGTAGGCCTAGCAGCCTTGGAATTCGACTTTTGATTTGGGTTCGGTTCGAATATGGATAATTCGTCCCTTACCTCTGAAAATTTAATAAGATATTTTAGAATTTTGGTTCGGTTTTGTTTGGTTTTGAATATTCGAAATATCAATGAATGTAAAAGAATTGGTTAAACTTGGAAACATGACTAAATTTTGACTAACAATATTATTTTGGGTATTTTTTTGATATTTTGGCCATAAAATAACTGAAATTTTGAATTTATTATTGTACTTTTGGATATAAATTATTTCAAATATATTAATAATTAATATTTTGATTATATTTGCATTTTTGATAATTCATATACTATTTAGTTCTAGTTTCGGTTTGAGTTCGGTTGTAATTTTTTTCTATATAAAATTAAGAATCCGTTCAAATACTTTTTAGTGTCCAAATCAAATTTCGGATCAAGTATTATGGTTCGGGTTTTTTTTCTGATACGAATATTATGCCCATGCCTAGTTTCGGGGATTGATGATTTTGACTACACCTTAGACTTAAACTGGACCTATTCAACCATATCATTTTGTATATCTTAGGCAAACTAAAATATTCTCCTTAACGCATAGATTCTTTTATTAAGCGTCCATGCTAAGTCGTTGTTACTCGTTCATATTATAGTCATGGTGCTTACCGCGTTTGGATTATATAATCAAAACTCGGACCATAACTTTAAAAGTTCAGTTTTGAAACTTTAATAAGAGTCGTAAGACTTTGAACATATTACATATAGAAGATGTTTCGTGGCCGACTTGTATTGATTCTTAGAATCTTTTGACCATTGGTTAATCTAGTTTTAGGACGTACGTTGACTTTATATATATGGTAACGATTAAGTCACTAGCCCACATGATTGTGTATATATTGATTGGCCATATAATATCAAATCTTCACAACGTGCATGACAATTCATTTCTTTAGCGTTAATAATTCACTAAGAGCTCTTCTCATAGGAAATTTCTTCGTCAATTCTTAAAAAAAAAAAAAATAGATATCACAATTTTAGATTTCATGACTTTTCTTTATATTATACAAAAGTAGAGTCACGTTTGGAGTTCGTTAATGATAGTCACAACTAACAATGACACATTTTAAAGAATATTCAAAGATTATACGAGTTGTAATATCAAGCTTATATGTAAGAGTTGTAAACTCTTTTTTGAACCCATCTTCATATACCAAAGTCAACATGTTCCACATGTTTGAGATCTCCGGCGAAGTTATCAAGGCTTTGGGGTTGAGGACGAAGATTCTTATAACAGTCTTCGTCTTTAGTTGCTTACTGATTTTTTCTGTATTGTTACTATCATCTTCAAACAATTTCAATATTCAACTTCTTGATGCTTCAATCAACGGTAAAGAAATAAACTTCATCTTTTGTTATTCATTGTTAACTTTATAGAATCATTCTTGTGACTTTATTTTCTTGTGATATGTATTTAGATGATGAATATGAGACAACTAGGGATAAATTGATAGGAGGGCTTTTAACCGCGGATTTCGATGAAGGCTCTTGTTTGAGTAGGTATCATAAAACGTTTTGGTATCGGAAGCCTTCACCATACAAGCCTTCTGAATATCTTGTAACTAAGCTAAGAAGTTATGAGTCGCGTCACAAACGTTGCGGTCCAGGGACAAAAGCTTACAAGAAAGCTACAAAGAACCTTAGTCGCGATAAGAAAAACTACGCGAGCGAATCAGCTGGTGAATGTAGATATGTCGTGTGGATCGCGGATTACGGGCTTGGGAACAGGATGCTTACTCTAGCTTCTGTGTTCCTTTACGCTCTCTTGACAGATAGGATCATTCTTATTGACAACCGCAAGGATCTTGGTGATCTCTTATGTGAGCCATTTCCAGGTACTTCATGGTTGCTTCCTCTTGACTTTCCATTGATGCAATATAATCGCTTCAACAAGGATTACTCTCGTTGTTACGGGACTATGTCGGAAAAACATACCATCAACTCGACTTCGATCCCGCCTCATCTATATCTTCATATCCTCCATGATTCAAGGGATAGTGATAAGATGTTCTTCTGCCAAAAAGATCAAAGTTTGATTGACAAAGTCCCTTGGTTGATTGTTAGAGCCAATGTTTACTTTGTTCCATCTCTATGGTTTAATCCAACCTTCCAAACCGAACTAACTAAGATGTTTCCGCAGAAAGAAACAGTCTTTCATCATTTGGCTCGGTATCTTTTTCACCCGACAAATCAAGTTTGGGGTATGGTCACTAGGTACTACCATGCTCACTTATCCAAAGCAGAGGAAAGACTCGGTATTCAAATACGCGTTTTTCGCGATCAAGGTGGATACTACCAACACGTCATGGACCAGGTCGTATCTTGCACACAAAGAGAGAAACTTTTGCCTATATTGTCTACACAAGAAGAAGCAAAAGTCAATATATCGAACACTCCAAAACGTAAAGCTGTTCTTGTCACATCTTTGTCTCCTGAGTACTCTAAAAAGCTAAAGAACATGTTTTCAGAACCATCAAGATCGATAGGAGAGATTATAAAAGTCTATCAACCAAGTGGAGAAAGATATCAGCAAACAGACACCAAGATCCACGACCAAAAGGCGCTTGCCGAGATGTATCTTTTGAGCTTAACTGATAACATTGTTACAAGCGCAAGGTCTACATTTGGGTATGTTGCTTATAGTCTTGGAGGGTTAAAGCCTTGGTTACTTTATCAGCCAAATGATGTCAAAGCTCCTGATCCGCCTTGTGTTCGATCCACGTCGATGGAGCCTTGTTTCCTTACTCCTCCTTCTCATGGATGTGAAGCTGATTGGGGAACTGACTCGGGCAAAGTTGTTCCTTTTGTTAGGCATTGTGAGGATGATACTTATGCACTTAAGGTTTATGATGAATTATAGATATTGTTTTATGACATTTTATTTCATTGGTTTATTGAGTTATTCCCACATAGGAGAAATGTAATAATTTTTTTTGTCTTCTGTAATATTAATCATCTGAATTACTATATCTTATATAATAAGACAAGGTTTTTTCTAACTTTGCATACTTATAAATTTGTAAAAACAATTGTCCTCTAGTAACCCCATGTTTAATCCTAGTTGTACTTAATATATGATATATATATTTATTTTTCTAAGTGTCTATAGATCATGGTCCTTCCACCCCATTTGACATATCTTTATCTAGTGCTTCGACTTTAAATAATTATTAGATTTAGGAACAACCATCAATGATTGAATTATTGGCTAAACCATGACTCATTTAGAAAAAATACTGCCACCAATTAATGAAAATTATTTTTACAAAAAAAAAAAAAAATACAAAATCATCGTAGATATTTAGTGTAATGATTCGAGTGTTACATACTTAGGTACATGCATGATCTTATTAGGTGTCACATACGAAGTCATGAATTGCATAAAATATCATAGTTAGTCTTGTTTACCACTCCTGACTTCGAAACTACGTTCATGTACACATTTAGCGATCCATAGTTTTGTTAGAGCCGATGTGCTATTGTTTTCAAATTTTTTGACACTTGGTCAATCGATTTAATTAGGACTTTGGCTATGTTAAATCTCCAAAACATAATTTACATTTTTCACTATACTATTATTTCAAGTTTGCACAATGAGCCAAACAATCCCTAGTTGTTATAGATTCCAAGATTTCGACATTGTAACGCCCGTAAATAATTCACAACAGCTCTCTTATTAGCAATAACTAATTCGTTAATTATTCTTAAACACACATAAGTACAAAGTCACAATTTGGAATTCAAGAAAATTTTACAATAAAAAAATGTGGAATCACGTTCGGGTGAGTTCGTTGATAGTCACAACTTAACAATGACACATTAAAGTATTCAAAAGTCTTATTTTAATTAATCTATGATTGGCAATAGAAGTTGTGATTACGTGCACTATATTAGAGTCTTATTGAATCATCTCATAGTTATAGTCAAACATGTATCACAAATTTAAGATCTACCGCAAAATTTTCAAGGCATTGGGGTTGAAGACGAGAGTTCTAATAGTAGTAATCTTTACTTGCTTACTGGTTGTAATATTATCATTCTCAAACAACTTAAACAACCAACTTCTTGATGCTACAACAAACGGTAAACAATATCATCCATCATCTTTTATGCTAACTTAAAGAATCTTGATTCTGATTTTATACATTCATTTTCTTGTGATATAGATTCAAAGGTACTCGATACGCCGAGGGATACATTGATAGGAGGGCTTTTAACCGCGGATTTTGATGAAGCTTCTTGCTTAAGTAGGTATCAGAAGTCTTCCTTGTACCGCAAGCCTTCTCCATACAAGCCTTCTGAGTATCTAGTCTCTAAGCTTAGAAGTTATGAGATGCTTCATAGACGTTGCGGTCCAGACACAAAGGCTTACAAAGAAGCAACGGAGAGTCTTAATCGCGATGAGAATTACGCGGACAAATCATTGAATGGTGAATGTAGATACGTTGTGTGGATGGCAGGTTATGGGCTTGGGAACAGAATGCTTACTTTAGCTTCTGTGTTCCTCTACGCTCTCTTGACAGAAAGAGTCATTCTTGTTGACAACCGCAAAGATGTTAGTGATCTTTTATGCGAGCCGTTCCCAGGTACTTCATGGTTGCTTCCTCTTGATTTTAAATTGATGAAGTATCCTTATGGTTATGACTACAACAAGGAGTACCCTCGTTGTTATGGAACAATGTCGGAAAATCATTCGATCAACTCGAGTTCCATCCCGTCTTATCTATATATGCATCTCCTTCATGATTCAAGGGATAGTGATAAGATGTTCTTCTGCCAAAAGGATCAAGATTTGATTGACAAAGTCCCTTGGTTGATTGTTCAAGCCAATGTTTACTTTGCTCCATCTTTATGGTTTAATCCAACTTTCCAAACCGAACTAGTTAAGCTGTTCCCGGAGAAAGAAACCGTCTTTCACCATTTGGCTCGGTACCTTTTTCACCCAACAAATCAAGTTTGGGATATGGTCACTGAGTACTACAATGCTCACTTATCCAAAGCAGAGGAAAGACTCGGTATTCAAATACGAGTCTTTGGCAATCCTGCTGGATATTTCAAACATGTCATGGACCAGATCGTAGGCTGTACGCAAAGAGAGAAACTCTTGCCTGAACTGGACACACAAGAAGTCGAAATATCGAAAACCAAGAAACATAAAGCTGTTCTTGTTGCATCTCTCTATCCAGAGTACTCTCAAAACTTAACCAAAATGTATTCGAACCGACCAACTTCGACAGGAGAGATTGTTGAAGTTTATCAGCCAAGTGGAGAAAGAGTTCAGCAAACAGACACAAAGATACACGACCAAAAGGCGCTTGCCGAGATGTATCTGATGAGCTCAACTGATAAAATTGTCACAAGTGCAAGGTCAACGTTCGGATATGTTTCTTATAGTCTTGGAGGGTTAAAGCCATGGTTACTATATCAACCAACAAACTTCACAACTCCTAATCCGCCTTGTCTTCGATCCACATCGATGGAGCCATGTTTCCTTACGCCTCCGTCTCATGGATGTGAAGCTGACTGGGGAACTAACTCAGGGAAGATTCTTCCTTTTGTTAGACACTGTGAGGATATTATGTATGGAGGACTTAAACTATATGATGAATTCTAATTTCTTGTTTATATGGTTTTATTGGATCATTGAGTTTTTAAAATCAAAAGAGAAATGTTATCTTTCTTTTCAGTTTACACTTATATATATCCTTTGTATTAATAATAAGTTATTGTATATAAACAAGTAATTATTTAAATTATTTACTAGGTTTGTATGGTTAAAGAGAAATCTTTGTTTTAGTAAAGATATTACAGAATATGTTATTGATTTAAGAACAAATTATAGAGCTTATTAAGGATAGTAATCTCCTTGTACCATAAACACTCAAGTAAGATCACCATATACTTTTAGCATCTACCAAATTGAACATGCACTATAATTTCGTAATTCCATCCAATCTATATAATTCTTTAATAAACCAAATTCTATTAATTTTTCTTATTATGATTTAAAGTCGTAAAATCATGTTTAATGTATAAAGACAAAGCAATTTTTTTAATAAAAATTATATCTCTTAATATTATTAGTTTATTACTATATATAGTTTAAAAATCACATATCCAAGTATCCAACTATCCATGGAATAAAAAAATTCACTGTAAAAGAAATTAATTTGGGTCAAAATTTGATTAATGACAGTATGACACAAAGATAGAGCTCTGCGAAGAGAATTTCAACTTTTGGAAATTAATTAATTCTTTTTGCCAATCCCATTAGTGTTCATAATCTTTTAGACTGCTTTATTTGATTATTTTAAATCATATTATATAAAAAAATCCTAAATATTAAATTTGTTGCTTAATTTGAGGTGATTTCTTTCTTAATAATATGGATACTCAATTTGAATTAGAGAGAAGATATTATTCATAAGCTATCTTTTAATTTTGTTATAAAATCTTATACTATTGTAAAAATTCCTTAAAATACAAAATTTGTTACTTAATTTAAAGTTATTTGTTTTCCTTAATAATATGGATAATCAATTCTAAGTAGAGAAAAAATGTTATATATAAGTGTATAAGCTTTCCCAACATCTAAACCATTTCACATCGATCAAACTACAATGGCTTTCTCTTGTGTCACAAGAAACGTATTCTCAATTCTTCCTCTTCTCATTGTTCTTTCAATCTCTCCTTTGTCTTCATCTTATACTCTAGATCAAAAAGTCACAAAAGAAATGGTTAACCAACTCTGCGCAAAACCAGCATTTTACTCACACTTTTGTGTCTCTTGGCTAAACTCTGATCCAAAAACATTCACCCTAACCTTACAAGGTCTTATCGACATGGTCTATGCCAAGACAGAAACGTACGGTAACAATAACCTAGAGATGATTAGAGGCTTGGAGAGAACCACGGCTGATCCAAAGCTCAAGGCCTCATATGGTTCTTGTGTGCAACAACTTGAAGTATCCACTAGAGCAATCACGCAAGCTAAAGGGTTTGCGAGCAAGAAGGCTTACTCGGACGCATCAAACTCGGCTTTTACAGCTTTGAATGGTATATCTACTTGTGAAGCTCAGCTTAAAGGATCCAACGTATCAGTGAAAGTAGCTGTTGGTAATGTTATGTATGATAGAATGTGTAACATTGATATGAACTTCTCTGACCTTTTTAGTTAGATTATTTCTCTATGGTTTCAGTAGTTTTGGTGTAGGAACTTTAAAACCAATAATTAATAAAATGTTCTTTTTTTTTCTTTTTGGCAATTATGCGATGAATAAAAATGTTTTCATCTCAAAATCTCAACTTTTTTTTAAAAATAGAATCTTTAAAAAAATTTCCAATAGAGTTGAACTACATATCTGTTATACTGAATATGGAAAAAAAAAATTACATATCTTGGATTTTCCCTATGAAAACATTTTTGGTTTCAAATCTGTTTTCTAATATGGAAAATTCTTAAGGGGTTAATATAAAAAAATATCAAGAATAAAATTATGCTATTAAATTCAAGGTTAATATGTTTAATGATATATCTGAGCATATCTTGGATTTTCCCTATGAAAACATTTTAGTTTCAAATCTGTTTTCTAATATGGAGGATTCTTAAGGGATTGATATATAAAAAATATCATGAATAAGATTATGCTATTAAATTCAAGATTAATATCTTTAATGTTATTTCCGAGCATATCTTGGATTTTCCCTATGAAAACATTTTAGTTTCAATATCCTTAAGGGACTAATATAAATTATCACAAATAAAATTATGCTATTAAATTCAAGATTAATATCTTTAATTTTATTATGGTGGTAATTATAGATTTTATATGGATGGCTCAATGACTCAGAACCAATCATATTAGGAAACTTAATTTGTTTTGAGTGTTAACCAAGGACTTACTCGAACGCATCTAACTCGGCTTTTAAAGCCATGAGTAGTATATATCTAATTTTGATGTATGATAGAATGTGTAACATTGATATGAATTTGTCCGACTTTTTTTTTATTTGATTCTCTATGGCTTCATTTCACTTTTACATTTAAGATGGGAAAATATGAAATTTTCATAATTTTTATATAATTAAGTACCCCATGAAGGAACTATTATAGAATGTACATATCTATTAACCTAAAGAAAGAAATTCAAGAGAGTAGCTAGAAAAAATAATTAAATAAAATATCTCCACGATATCTTCTATAAATTAATTGAGAAATATCTTTTTAAAAACGTTCTTATTTTCGCTTGTGATTAACAAAAATATCATGCTGAGACATGCAAAGGCTAGAACAATTACGACAACTTCTTTTGTGAACATTATATTTCTTCTTTTGTGATTTGTGAGTTTGCTTTGTTATAATCAAGATTGGCATTTATTTAGTTTGCTAGTGGGCTAGTGGTTCTCACTCCTATTTGCCTTCTCAGCAGATCCGGTTTCGAGTCCGGTCTCTCTCAAAGAAAGATTTATAATTTGTAATGATGTCAAAAAAAAAATCAACAGGCATTTATTTAGTTTAACCAAAATAACAAATATTGGTATTTATAGAGTTTAAATACCGACGGCTCGAACTTTTAATATGGTTAGAGTTTTTGACCAAATATTTTATATTTTTGTTCTATTTTTTGATTAGTTAATACTTAACAGTCCCTAAAAAAAATGGATTTCATATTTCCATTTTTTAAAAATATCCAATTAATATAATAAGAAGGAACACCTTTTCTGTTACGGAATAATATATATATATATATATTGTAATAAAAAAATTTGTAATAAAAAATTTAGCTAATCCTCCATGACTATTATTATTTTTAATATGTAATAAAAATTAATTTAATTTTTCATAAGCTAAGGAATAAGGTTAATTTTACTTATATACCAGGATTTCAATCTTCAAAAGTCACATGAAAACGTTATATTATCCAGCAAAATTTCACACTTATGATCAGTAATTAACAATATTTGTTTAAGAAAACGGTTTCATTGAAGAAAATAAAGGAACGTTTTGTTTAATAAGTTAATATAAAATTTTCTCTGCCCATGTCTCAATTTTTGAAATATATCTTAATGAATATCTTAATTTTAACATACTAAAAAATACGTCTATATCTTAATTTTTAAATAAATCGAAAAATACGTCTATAACATAATTACTTTAACAAACTAAAAACTAATTCTACTAGCGCAATGTCAAATTAAATAAGGAAGAGACATAACTAAATCTTTTAATCTCTAAGGATTACAATTTCTATTTGGTAAAACTCAAATGAAATGTATCCACCGTCTCCTTATATAAAGAGACATAACGTAACCTTAACTCTTCAAGAAAATCACAATTTGTTTCTTGATCATGTCGATGCCTTCAAGAAACAAACGTAAAGAGAGATCATCAGATATTGCATCATCTTCATCATCTTCTTCTTCTTCTTCTTCGAGTGCTCATGACTTAGCTTCTTCCTCGTCGACGAAACCAAACCTTTTAGTACCAGGTCTCAAGTTTGTACCATCGGACACCGAACTCATCAATCACTACTTGAAACCATACCAACGAGACGGAACATATTATTACCCACAACCTTTTGATGTTCCTATCCATCACGTAAACATCTACATGTCCGATCCACAACAGCTCTCAGGTTTTTTCTATTTCTATATATCTTTCTTCTAGTTCTTTAGGTTTTTATATATATGCATTACTCTACTTATACATCTCTATCTGTAACAGTGGACTTCGAGAAGGCTAATGATGAAGCATGGTTCTTTATAACTGAGAGATACAAAAAGGGTATAAGTGGGAAGAAGCATAAACGTGCTGACAATGAAGGATACTGGAATGCAACGGTAGGTGCCAAGACGATTGCTGGTGTGGAAGACGGCGTGGGGGACGTGACCGCGCTACAATACTTCATCGGGGAAAAGCCTCACGACGTGAAAACAGATTGGTTAATGCATGAGTACTCTTACAAGTCTCCTAATGATGATAACGATAAGGTACGTATGTGTTTCTTGTGTTCCAAGGTATTAAGATTTTAAGACTTTTCTGGATGTTGATTTGAGGTTTTTGTTTCTGTTTTTCAGGTTGAGTATGTTTTGTGCAAGATTTATATGACTCCATCGTCGGTAAAGTTGATGAAAGATGAGGAAAAGGCGATGTCGAAGGCGAAGAAAGGGAAAGGCAAATTGAAAGTGGAGGTGAAGCAGCTGGAGCAACCTAAGTGTTCCTTACCATTAACACAACATCATCAGGAGCAGCAACCTAAGTGTTCCTTACCACTAACTCAACATCATCAGGAGCAGCAACCTAAGTGTTCCTTACCATTAACACAACATCATCAGGTGCAGCAACCTAAGTGTTCCTTACCACTAACTCAACATCATCAGGAGCAGCAACCTAAGTGTTCCTTACCAGTACTAACTCAACATCATCAGGAGCAGCAACCTAAGTGTTCCTTACCACCAACACAACATCAGGAGCAGCAGTGTTTGCCTTATGACATGGATGATGATGACTTTAATGACTTCGATGACTTCTTTGATTTTGTCGACTCTGATCCTCAACCAAAGGATGTTGAAGATTTCTTTGCTGAGTTCATGCAGACAAATTCATTGGATGGAGATGATGAAGACGTACCTAAAGATAGAGATTTACTTGAAGGCTTCTTCACTGATGACGATGATAAAAGATTAAACTGACTGATTTATCTTAGCTTTCTGAATTATACTTTTCCATTTTGGTTTTCATGAGTTCTTGAAGTCTTTATGACTCCTTTTGATTATCTGGTTTTGGGGCTATTCTATTCTTTGGTTATGTATTGATCTTCTAAAACTCAAAAGCTTGTAATTGTTTACTTTTGTTGCAATAAATTCACATTACACAATAAAAAAGGATTACACAACAAAATTAATATACTTTTACTTATTTTTGTCTCCACTCTCTCTTGTATTAAACAATCTCTCTCGTTTGATGATATTTTTCATGACTTTTTTTTGTAAAGGAAAATGTTTAATTTACTAACAATATGAGATTGTTTTGTTTTAATTGAATAACACAAAATATTATAACAAAAAGAGTTTGTTAGGTTTTGGTTTTGGTTTTATTTTTATATTTTTTTTTTCATCTTCTCTAAATTAATTCAAAATGGCATTTCTGGTAAATAAGAAAACACAATCAGAGTTCTTTTAGTAATTAAGCTTTATGTGGGATGTGTAACTATAGTAATATGACTATTTTTTACGTGTTATTATGGATAATTTCCCTAAAAAATGATTTCTTGATTAAGTACAAAAATCTTAAATATCATATAAAACAAACCAAATTAAATGAATTGAACTACATAGTTTTGTTGTCAACATTAAACCATAACATGCCTATTAGGCAAATATCTATGATAGGTTCGTTTTACTTGTTTTTGTTACCAATCTCTCTAATTTTTAAAAGGTTACTAGAGAGTTTTATGTAAGGTTCACCATGATGGGGGTACTTCTAATTTTTTTGTTTAGTTCTTTAATAGATTTCAACCTGGCCATTTGAGTTTTCGGGTCGGGTTTGGGTAGACTCTGTTCGGATTCGGATTATATGGGTTTAGGAAAATAGAACCCATTGGTAAATTTTGGACTTTCGGTTCGGTTTCGGTTTGAGTATTTTCGGGTTCGGGTCGGTTTAGGTTATAAATTAACTACGATAGACCGTGTCAGAAAGTGGAAGGAAAATTTCCTACGAAATTCTTTTAAATATTACTTTCGTAGGAAAACTTGAAGGAAATGTATAAGAATATTGTAGGAAATAACACAGAGAGAATTTGGAAGGAAATATTCCTTCAATATTGTGAATTTTATTCTCCATCTGTCTCATAATAAGGAAATGTCTTAAACAATTTTTTTGAAGTTTTCATTATAAATTATTGCTTAAAGATTTTTTTTTTTCATTTTTTTATGTTTTCAGTTTCCTATATAAATGTTTTTTACTCTTTGTATTATGCAAATTATTTATGATTGGCCAAAAAATTTTTAGATTTATAAAAATAATATTTAACTATATGATAAAATGATTTCTTAATTCAAGTAAAAAGCTTAAAATAATATAAAATGAAACAATGGGAATAAACCAAATTAAATGAATTGAACGGAGGATTTATATTATTTAATTATATATAATAAAATTATTAGAATAATTTTTTTTTTTAACATTGGACTATAAACATGCCGGTCCTTTAACAAAATTCCCATGATATGTTCGTTTTTACTAGTAATTATCTCTAGTCTCTCTTGTTTTACTTTGTTTCTTCTCTCTGAAAATATATGTTTTTATTCAATAAATAACTCAGTAATATACACTTGAGTTATGCAACCGAACGAGAACAATTCACTTAATGGAAAAAAAAAGTTGAGAGAATATAATTAATATAATAGCTATCACTATTTAAATTTTAGTAGCATTTTGTTTTACAATCTTCCTCATTATTTCTTTTGTTCATTGTCTTGCTACAACTGCTGGAAGTCCGGGTAATTGTTAATTGTTATTTATACATTTATTTTGTAATTATCGTCATGATGATTTCACTTTTTGTTAATGAGTATTTATTATAGTTAATAATGTATATAGGTTATTGACCTAGTCGACATTGACGTCCAAAAATTGTATAGCTTGTGTAATTCACCTGGACTCTGCAATTTTTATTGTAGAAGAAATAGTTATGATTATGGTTTATGTCGTAGAGAAAGATGTTTTTGTGTTGATATAACTAACTAGTATGTATCTAAGATAAATTATGTAACCGAATATATTGGTATCTGCTTATAATTTTCGCATGTTTTTGAATGAATATACAAAAGGTCTAGAACGGAGTACATAAACTTTACCAAATCAAAGTTAGATTGATTTTCAAGCCATAGATTTTCTGCAAGTTTAAGAAAAATTAATATAAGTTAATGAATATTGAAATGTAAAAAATAAATATAAACTAAAGTTAGCCAATACACTTTCACGTAAATATATTTGGTAAAACTGTTGCATATATTGACTTTATTATTGTGAATCTTATTCTCCCTCCGTATGTTCATAGTCAGTGATGTCTTATAGAATTTTTTTTTCATTTTTTTTGATGTTTTCAGTTTCCTGCATAAATGTTTTTATTCTTTATATTATGCAATTTATTTTTATTGGTAACAATGATTTTGGAGTCATAAAAAGAATATTCAAGTATAAAAAATAATAAAAAGTATATTTTTTTTTAATTTAAGTACAAAAATCTTAAAAATCATATAAAATGAAAAAAAGAATAAATTGTACCGCGGGTTAAAATCTAGTTGATATGTAATATATGTCCGTTTTAAAAAAATTGAATCACAATATGTATGCATAAATTAGTCTTTTTTATTAAATTCATATATTGTATGATTATTCAAAAAAAAAAAAAACAAACAAAAATGAAAGGAGAACTAATTTTTAAATTTTAGACAAAAAATTCCTTAATTTTTTATATTATAATTATCAACTAAATAGAATCAAAAGTTGAATATATTAGTGAATATTTTAGGTAATAAATTAATGGCTTGAACAATAAATGAAATGACATAGTAGCAAGAAATGTACACTATAGTATTTTCTTTTGGCAAAAAGTGTTGCAAAAATATTATAGTAGATAAAACATTTGAAGATATATCCATCCAAGAACTAATGATATTTCCATCTAAGAATATATAATCATTCACAAGAGATAAACAAAAAAGTAATCATAAATTTAAATTAGTGTTATCTTAATTTTCATATAGTATATCAGTTTTGTTACTTGATATACATTAGTATGGGTATATGATGTGTAAGAATTCAGAATCTTGGACACTTTCTAGATATGCACACATAATTATCACTAGTAAATTGTGTATATATTTTAGTCAATGACTAATTAGTAAACTGGAAAATTATATAATTGGCATGTGTGTATATTTAAGGAAATCACTTTAACATATTGTAACTATCACACTAATTGTCTTTAATTTGTTTCCCAAAATGAACAAAATAAACTAGTAAAAGATAATATAATAGTATAAATAAACTTTTAACCCCTTACAAAAAAACATAAGCACCACAAAAATCAAAGAGAAAATGAGCAAATTGGTTTTAATAGTTTGTGCAATTGCAATCACTATTGTTACTTTACCTTTGAATATACAAACAGTGCATGGTTTAACGATTTGTGAAATAGCAACAAATGAAGTAAAACCATGTTTGCAGTACCTTTGGGCTCCTCCTCAGGCTAGGCCACCACCAGATTGTTGCAGTGGCTTAGATAAAGTGAACCGAAGTGCTAAAACGTTTGAAGAACGTCGAGATATTTGCATGTGTCTCTCAATTGAAGCAGCAATAACTGGAGCCGATCAATACAAGTTTACCAATTTGCCAAAGTTTTGTGGTATTAAGTTGTTTGCACCCATTGGTCCAAAGTTTGATTGTAACAGGTAATTCATCTTATTTAAAATTGATTACTAACTTTCATTATTTCGTTTTTTTTGGTTTAATCTCTTTATCATATTTTTATATAAGAGAATAAGAATATTGATTTCTCTCATAATTTTCTCAATGATCTTTTGTGTGTGTGTGTGCAGCATTAAAGTTTAAGGTGGATAAGAAGTTGGAATCAAAATGAAGATATAGTAAAACCTCTATAAATTAATACTAGATAAAATTAATAATTTCTATAAATTAGTAAATTTATCTAGTTTCCAGTTGGATCAGTATAATTTTGGATGTAATTCGATAAAATAATAAGATAATAATTTTTTAAAAATCCAATGTATTTTATGGTCCTATCAATACTATAAATTAATAATCATAGTAAATTATCTAGATGTATGGACATAGCATAAGCAAGAGCCAATAGCTCAATTGGCAAAAGCTTAGATTACCGGGATGTATGGACATCGAGCCATAACCTCTTAATTATTAAAAAAAAATTGAGTATTAATTTTTATTATTTCCGTTATTGGTTTAATCTCTTTATCATATAATTCTTTAAAAGTTAAGAATATTTTCTCTTATTATTTTCTCAATTATCCTTTTTTTAGCAGCATTAAAGTGTAAAGTGAATAAGAATGAAGAACTTGGGGTTAAAGTGAAGATATATGAAGGAAATTTGATTCATTTACAATAACTTTTCTTCAAATAATAAAACAATACCTCAAATAATAAAATTACCATATATAGGATTGGCTTTTCTTACAAAACTGTAACATACAACGACTTGCAATTTATCTCATAATAATTTAAGGATCTTGCATGAACTAGTATAATATTCTCTTCAACAAGTCCACCCCAAAATACTCTAAAGGGGACATACAAGGCAAATAAGTTAATAAGTTAGTTTTAAATGGACCAAAGAAACATCTTGATTCCAAAAAGGAAAGTGGGCATCGAACTTCATTAAGTCCCTTTGGGCCTAACGAACGACTATTGCCCCAAGTGCCACTAATTATACTATGATCTAGAGGGCCTAAAAAGAAAAATTGAAAGAATGATACAAACATTTCCAAGAGGTTGTCATCTGATATTATAAAGCCGAAGTACTAAGAAGATCCAGTCATACAGAAGGTGCATAACAACACATGAAAACATAACGCTAACAAATTAGGCCAATTATGAAGATTCATAACAAACTCATGTTCTCAAGCTCAGTCTCAAAGTCATAATGGACAAAGAACATAGATTTGAAGAAGCTTGTAGAATGTATTCACTTTAATATGGATTTGGAACTTGTACATTCTATTTTATGGGTTTGTATTTTTGTTGTTTTCCATGGTTTGCAGTACTATAGATTTTTTAATTTGGATTTGGAACTTAAAACTTTTTTGTATTTAAGCTAGATTCGAATGTTGACCAAAACAAAAAAACTATATTCAAATATGTCTAGCATTGACAATTTGACATAACAAATTATCTTTTTAGGTGATGGTTCAGTTCTTCATATTTTTTTTGATTATTTTGTGTAAATTGCTTTATTTGAACTGAATTTGAATATAGTTCGGTTATTTGTCGATACTTCTTCAAAATATCCAAATCAAATTTAAGAACCAAACCAAATAACCGAACTCGTAAGCTTACTTTTAAATTATCTATAAATTAACATATAATTATAAAATAAAAGAATAAGTGCCATTATTTTACTTGATATAGACAAAACTTACAACAATCCCTCTTTTAAATGGCACTTAGGAGGAAACAATAGCCTTGATTGGTGAACATAAATAAAGTTGTACAAATCATAGAATTTTAATTTTTACCAATCACAAAAAAAAACTTTATTAAAACATTTATTCTCTGATATAGTTTTTATGTACATTTTTTTTAAGTCTTACAAAGGTTTTGAGTTTTACAAAGGTTTTATTAACTTACTGGTATAACGTTTTTGGAGGAAAAATTTTAAAATAACGTTTTTGGCGGAAAATTACAAATCACGTTTTGCAGGGAAAATTACAAAATCACGTTTTTCACGGAAAAACTATAGGAATTACGTTTTTGGCAAGAAATTTACAAAAACATATTTTTGGCGAAAAAATTATAAAACCATATCGTATTCTATCATGTGTTTAATTTTTTGTGTTAGTGTTTGGATTTTTATGTTTAAAATTTTGTGTTTACTTGTGTTTAACATATTTTGTCCACTAGAAACCCATAGTCAATCCATAAAAACATGATCGTTAATGGACCGGTTGTTAGTGGACATGGTCAACTATTTGTCAATAATTAAAATACTAAATAGACAATATTGTACGTGTCAAAATGACGTGAACACTTACTAAATTTTTTTTAATAGTTTTGACTTTTGAGTAAGTTACCAATCGAATATATAATGCTGAATCTTTGTCGTTAAAATGACTATGTACAATTATTTATTTGGAAAGAAATAAAGAACCTGAAAATAAATAAATAAGAAGGCAGCTTTTGTAAGTGCTCTCCAACCATGTCCCAATCATTCGAAAGTCCAACTTTTTTGGTCTTATCCTATTTTTATTATTATTTACCAAATATTATGAATTATTAAGTAATAGTAAATGAAAAATGAACGTTTGCTAATAAATTGTAGTGCATGGATCATATTAATGATAATAAGCAAAAGCTATTTTGGGTTAGTCCAAAGAGTAGTGTGTCTTTATTCGTACTAGGTAATGTCCCGCGCATATGCGCGGGTTGTTGTATATTTATTTAATTATTTTAATTTATTTATTATTTATAAAAAATAGATTAAATAAATTTTAATGCTTATGACATTTTTACATGTTATTTATTTAAATCATACAGTAGAAGCATACATCCATATCTTTTGAATTTATTCGTTGATTAATTGTTCAATTAATCAATTTGGATAGTAATTTTCTTTAGTACTTTTAAGTATTTTTTGATAAAACAATAATATTGTTAATGATAAAAATAAAAATGATATTGGGAGAATTTAAAAAATACCCCTTTAAAAATACCACTTTTTAAATTTACCCCATTTTCAAACTTTATCAAAACAACCACTAAAAATGCTGAAATTTATCCAAATATGTGTGTAAACTTATAAATATACACAAAAATTACATTTATTTGTGTATAAAATTTTATTAATTTCAATGTCTTACAAATTGGTTTGAATATAACAAAAAAATATTTTGTTAAAATAATTACATACTTTGAAAATAAAATAAATATACATGAATATGTGAGAAAGAAAAAACATATAAAGTAAAACAATGAAAATGGTTTATTTAGCTTGATTTTCTTATGGTGCGATGGTCAGAAATCAATATTTTTGAATCCCATCGATAAAGTAAATTCCTTATAACCATAAAATATTATTATACATATGTAATATACATTTAATAGTATAAAAACAATGAAAAAATGAAGAAGTACATAAAATAAAGAAGAAATATAATTGAAAACAAAAGTTTTAACCAAATATATAATCAAGCTCATACAATGATATCTTAATTGAGCTTTCAACGCATGCAAGAACATTAAAAATTAAACAAAGAAAATATTGAGAATATCAGATATAGTGGAGGAGGATGTAAAAATGAGTATTTATAGGATAAAATATGATGTAAGTTACAGTTCTAAAATAATTAAATCAGAGGAGTTATAATTATATATTTATAGTGTGTTAATTGAAGTTAAATGGAGGAAACAAATAGTAAATTGAAAGGTTATATAATTTAAGTTACAATTTAATAGTAAAGTGTGGATTTCAAGTATGAATTAAAGTATATGACTAAATGTGTTAGGTATTTGGTTTAATTAAAAATAAATAATATAATTAAAAAATAAATGCTAAATGGACCAATAAGGAGAGAGTGGAACCTTAAAAATTCCCAAGAAATAATTTTATTTTTAATCTATTTTTATATTCCTCTTAATTTAAGTTATATTTCTAGGTTTAATTATATTTTTCATCCTTGTAGTATATATAATAGATAGAAATTGGAATATCAAATTGTTTTTAGATAGGAAATCAAGTATAAAATTCAAAGTTAAAACAAATTATAATGTTCTTTGTATTATTACATGTTGAATCACAAACTAAATATAAGGATCATTATTCTTAAAAGAATGTCTTACAAATTGGTTTGATAATTATATAACAAAAAGTTTATTTTGTTAAAAAATTACATACTTTTGAAAATAAATTAAATATACATGAATATGTGAGAAACAAACAAACATCCAAAGTAAAAAGAATGAAGATGGTTTCTTTAGCTTGATTTTCTTATAACCATAAAATATTATTATACATATGTATTACATTTAAAAATATAAAAAACAATGAAGACATAAAGAAATACATAAAAACAAAAAATAAATAAAATTGAAAACAAAAGTTTAAACTAAATAATTAATCAAACTCTTACAATGATATTTTAAATGAGTTTTCACCCCATGCAAGAACTTTAAAAAAAAACCAAAGAGAATAATGAAGATATGAGATATGGTAGAGAAGGATGTGAGAATAGCTATTTATATGATAAGAAGTGATGTAAGTTACATTTTTAAAATAATTAAATTAGAGGAGTTATAATTATAATTTATAGTGTGTTTAATTGGAATTC